CAATTTACATACGAGAAAAAAGTTCCAACGTTCTTGTCAACAAAATTATAGAGCAAGGACAATTTTCACATAATACCACTCGTAAAGGGCAACATCCAGGAAACAAAAGTTCAAACGAAGTCTGAAGATAATTACAGAGTATTATCGAAATATCTCACCGACAAAAAAAAGAACTTTTACACGTATCAGCTAAAAAGCAGCAAGGGCCTGCAAGTCGTACTTAAGGGAATAGAGTCCGATGTAACGCCTGCAGAGATAATAAAGGCGCTACAAGAGAAGGGATTCAGCGCTAAGACAGTCTTTAATATCCTTAACAGGGAGCTCGAACCAGAAATTAAGCCCCTAAAGATATACGAAGTGCACCCTATATACAATCTTCAGTTCCTGCTGCACCGCAGAATTACGATTGAGGAGCCGCACAAACGCAATGGCCCGGTACAATGTGCGAACTGCCAAGAATTTGGCCATACAAGGTCTTACTGTAAACTGCGCCCAGTGTGTGTAATTTGTGGTGAGCTTCATGACTCCGCACACTGCCCAACGAGCAAAGATGACCACAACTCAAAAAAGTGCGGCAACTGCGGTGGAAATCACACTGCTAACTATAGAGGTTGCCCAGTTTATAAGGAGCTGAAAAGTCGAATCCACCAGAGGGAAACAGTTGATAGCCTCCAGGTCAAGCCCTGAAGTCTTCTTCTCGACTGCTGCCAGATACTCACTAGGACCCATAAACGCTGCCAAAAATGTTACATACTCAAGTGCTTTAAAATCAGGACTGTCTACCCCAGCCTCAAAAAGCTCATTGCCGCAATCAGCATACCAAGAACCGAACACGGCTCAGCAGCATCAACCGCCAGAGCAGCCAAAAAGTAACTTTGAAGCTATGATATGCAGTCTACAACAAAGCCTTATGGAGTTTATGTCGTTTATGCGTACAACAATGCAAGATCTGATGCGGAACCAAAATCTATTAATACAAATGCTGGTTTCACAACAATCCAAATAATGACTTCCCTACGAATAACGGCGTTTCGCAGCATAACCACTCCAGTAAGCGCAGTTCCTACTAGACACTCAAATCGACTTAATGCTGTTTATAGAAACACATCTTACAAACGGATACCATTTCCAACTACGAGGATATTCATTCTACGAAACAAACCATCCAGATCGTAAAGCCTACGGCGGGACTGGAATTTTAATCAGGAGCCGTACTAAGCACCATTATCATAAGAAATTTGCTAAAAACTACCTACAGGCCACATCCATAAATATACACCTAAATACTGGTAAGCAATTAACGCTAGCCGCCGTATACTGCCCCCACGCTTCACCATAGCCGAAGATGAGCTTATGCAGTTTTTCAACTCACTCGGAGACCACTTAATAGCAGCAGGAGACTACAATGCCAAGCACACACACTAGGGATCTCGTCTCGTGGCTCCAAAAGGAAAGCAGCTCTATAATGCAATTATCAAAGCCAAGAACAAGCTCGACTATGTTTCTTCTGGCACACCAACATACTGGCCGGCAGACCCAAAGAAACTTCCCGATTTAATAGACTTTGCGATTACCAAAAACATTCCTAAAAATTTAATAAGCGCCGAATGCCTTTCGGATCTTTCATCTGATCACTCGCCTGTCCTTTTTACTCTTCTCCGACATCCAGGAACATGGGATCAACCATTAAAACTGACCTCACATAAAACCAATTGGGTTAAGTACAGGAAGTATATAAGCTCACACATTGAGCTAAGTCCTCACCTCAGCGATGAAGCCAACGTAGACAGTTTTCTTAATTCATTGGAATCTGTACTCGTCTCTGCAGCTCGAGTTTCAACACCTCACACTATAAACACACAATGCAATCAAAAGAAGTCAAATCTACAAATCGAACAGCTCGTCCTCGAAAAGCGACGCTTACGTCGAGCATGGAAATTTCACAGATCGCCATCTGCTAAGCAAAGCTTTAAATATGCCTCACGTCAACTTGCTCAAGCTCTACAGCAAGAAGAAACATATGTCCACTTCCGCTACATTGAGCAATTGTCAACTAATAGTACAAAACACTCACTATGGAGAGCTCACCCAACTCTGAGCTCACCGAAAGAAACCGTGATGCCTATTAGAAATTCCACGGGCGGCTGGGCGCGCAGTGACGCAGACAGAGCCAGCACGTTTGCCAACCACCTTAAAAATGTCTTCCAACCAAATCCTGCCACCAATGCGCTTACTTTGCCGACTCTATCATATAAGCCCCAGCCTCAACATGAGCCAATTGAGTTTCGCCCAAACGAAATCGTAAACATCTTCAAAAGACAACTGAATCCGAAAAAAATCCCCGGGCTGCGACCTCATAACTCCCAAAATGATCATTGAGCACCCATACTACGGCGTTTGCACTCTCATCCAGCTCTTTAATGCCATCGCAAAACTTGGCCACTTTCCAGTGAGATGGAAAAAGTCAATTATAATAATGATAGCAAAGCCGAGGAAAGACCACACTAACCCCACGTCATGTAGACCTAAAAGCCTACTCTCTTGCCTATCTAAACTCTTTGAAAAATGCCTAATGCCTCGGATAAACACATACCTGAGAATCCAGGAAGGAATCCCGTCACACCAATTTGGGTTTCGTGAAATGCATGGAACAATTGAGCAGGTCAACCGGATAACATCAGAAATTCGAAACGCTTTCGAAAAACGAGAATACTGTACTGCCATATTTTTAGATGTCTCTCAAGCATTTGATAGAGTCTGGCTAGAAGGTCTAATGCACAAGATCAAGACAATGCTCCCCTACAGCACCCACAAGATTTTAGAGTCTTACCTTCACGACAGAAAATTTGTTGTGAGGTGCAACACTGCTATATCTGATGATTACACTGTTAGAGCTGGAGTTCCTCAAGGTAGCGTGCTAGGGCCAACACTATATGTCCTCTACACAGCAGACATCCCGACAAGCACACGACTAATAACATCTACGTTTGCCAATGACACACCTATTCTTAGACGCTCTAAATGGCCGATTCAAGCAACTGCGCAGCTAGCTCGTCATATGGTCGATGTTGAAAAATGGCTATCAGATTGTCGAAGTAAAGTGAACGAACTAAAATGCAAACACGTTACGTTCACTCTGAACAGGCAAAACTGCCCTCCGATTACGTTAAACAACACTCTACTCCCACAAGCAAACGAAGTAACATACCTAGGAGTACATCTCGACAGAAGACTCACATGGCGCCGGCACATTGAAGCCAAAAGAACACACCTAAAGCTAAAAGCCAGCAGCCTTCATTGGCTTATCAACGCCCGGTCACCTCTTAGCCTTGAATACAAAATCCTGCTGTACAACTCGGTACTAAAACGTATATGGATGTACGGCTCCCAGTTATGGGGGAACGCCAGCAATAGCAACATTGACATTGTTCAGAGAGTTCAGTCGAAGATCTTGAGAACAATCACCGGGGCACTGTGGTACGTTCGCAACAAAAACATACACCGCGACTTAAGCATTCTACCCCTCAAAGAAGTGATCGCAGAACAAAAGGTAAAGTACTTCACCAAGCTATCGGTGCACCCTAACCACCTGGCGAGAGGGGTAACAAGGTTGAACAACCAATCACGCCTTCGTCGCAATGACCTACCCACCCAGCGACCGACCTCAGGAACGCGAAACCAGAATGCAGTCTTAGTACTCTGTTAGTTAAATTTTATTGTTAGGATTCGTCAACTTATTGTTAGTCTCAAAATTAAGAGTAGATTTAATAAATAAAAGCAAAGCTATATAAAAAAAGTTTGGGCACCGGCACCCGGCTGACGGGGCCGGACAACCGATTCGCGGGTGACGGGATCGGCCGCCCATATCCTCCCTCTTAGTTTGGGCACCGGCACCCGGCTGAGGGGACCGGACTACCGATTCCTGGGTGATGGGATCCAACCAAACCAACGCATCGCCGCTCCTGCACACCAGCCAGAACATACATCAACAACTACATGGGAGTCTCCTGGATTTCCTACAGGACGAAGCACGAACTCGAGGCTATTCTTCTCGAGCTCGGCCTCGAACAAAACGGTACGGTCGACGAACAGCGGCCCCGACTGTACGCGTTCGCCAGGCAAACGGAACACTCAGCAGATACCCTGATCCGGCTCGGGGAAATGGAACGCAAGTATGGAAACGCCCCTCCGGAGACACCAAGCCACCATCGCCGCTACCGCCCTCCCACGAAAAGGCACCAAGCAGTAGCCACACGCTGACCATACCACTCAGCACTTCCCCGTCCCCAGGGCCGCAAGGAAAATCAGAGGGCACAGTACGCACCGGTGACAAAGTGACCAAATGAGGACTGTCCTTCGACGGCACCTCGGACCAGCTCAGTTTCATAGAACACATCGAAGAACCGGCGGATACCCACCGGATTGACCGTGAGTCGCACGCTATCATCCTCCTCCTGACTGGACGGGCGGAGAACTGGTTCCGAACCAGTGATCTGCAGGGATTTACCTGGACCGAAGTTCGTCGGGAATTCTTGGACTTCTTCCTACCGCCCCGGTACTACCAACGCCTCGACGACGAGATCCGTTCACACTTTCAGAAAGTGAATGAGCCGTTCAAGGAGTACCTGGTTGACCTCCGCCTTCAGATGCGCCGCGCTGGATTCTCACCGGAGCAGGAATTGGAACGGGTCTATGAGAAAATGCTGCCTGAATACCAGATGTTTACCCGACGCCAGGATTTCAAAACGCTGGCTGAACTCACACACTTGGTGGCCCTGCCCCACACCGCAGGTGCCACACCCTAGGAGCGCGACCAACGAAGCCGCCAAGCGGGACGCCGGGGTAAACCCTAACCAAAGGGCCACGACCACCAGGTCAATCGACCCCAGCACCGCCTGCCGAAACCGCGGCCGGGCGGGCCATTACGCCACGGAGTGCCGACACCCGCGAGTCATGTTCTGTTGGGACTGCGGCCGCCAGTGCATACGCACTATTGACTGATGCAGGAACCAGACGCCGGGAAACGGGCAAGGGCCTCGGGTATCAGGGAGTCACCCGAGGAACCCACCGAACTCCCGCAGCCACTAACCTACTCCATCCAGCAGAACCGAAACCGTATCTGTGCACGGGACACGGTAGAGGGGCGCCCTCTCACCGTTACCTTGGATACGGGAGCCTCGCATAGCTTCATAAGCGAACGCCTGGCAAAGGAACTCGGCGGGGGAAGGAATCGCCGCGCTGTGCGGACCAAAGTAAAGCTAGCCGACGGAACCGGCCGGGAGCTCACACAGACCTTGCGAACCACGATCCAGCTGGGCGAAGCTCGGGTCAGCGTCTCCGCTCTCATCATGGCGTACGTGCTGGACGACCATCGGTTACAGACGCATCCACCAGCCGCCGCACAGGTGATCCATCACCCGCCTCACAGGCGCATCCATCGGTCACCTCACAGACGCATCCACCAGCCGCCGCACAGGCGCATCCATCACCCGCCTTACAGGCGCATCCATCGGTCACCTCACAGACGTATCCACAAGCCTCCTCACAGGCGCATTCACAAGCCGCCTCACAGGCGCACCCATCGGTCACAGACGCATCCACCAGCCGCCGCACAGGCGCATCCATCACCCGCCTTACAGGCGCATCCATCGGTCACCTCACAGACGTATCCACAAGCCTCCTCACAGGCGCATCCACAAGCCGCCTCACAGGCGCACCCATCGGACACCTCACAGACGTATCCACCAGCCGCCGCACAGGCGCATTCATCACCCGCCTCACGGGCGCATCCACAGGCCGCCTCACAGGCGCATCCATCGGTCACCTCACAGACGCATCCACCAGCAGCCGCACTGGCGCATCCATCGCCCGCCTCACAGGCGCATCCATCACACGCCTCACAGGAGCATCCATCGGTCACCTCACAGACGCATCCACCAGCCGCCACACAGGCGTATCCATCACCCGCCTCACAGGCGCATCCATCGGTCACCTCACAGTCGTATCCACAAGCCTCCTCACAGGCGCATTCACAAGCCGCCTCACAGGAGAACCCATCGGTTACAGACGCATCCAACAGCCGCCGCACAGATGCATCCACAAGCCGCCTCACAGGCGCATCCACAAGCCGCCTTACAGGCGCAGCCATCGGTCACCTCACAGATGATGCACCAGCCGCAGCACAGGCGCATTCATCACCCGCCTCACGGGCGCATCCACAGTCCACCTCACAGGCGCATCCATCGGTCGCCTAACAGACGCATCCACCAGCCGCCGCTCAGGCGCATCCATCACCCGCCTCACAGGCGCATCCATCGTTCACCTCACAGACGCATCCACCAGCCGACGCACAGGCGCATCCATCACCCGCCTCACAGGTGCATCCATAGGTCACCTCACAGACGTATCCACAAGCCTCCTCACAGGTGCATTCACAAGCCGCCTCACAGGCGCACCCATCGGTCACAGACGCATCCACCAGCCGCCGCACAGGCGCATCCATCACCCGCCTCACATGCGCATCCATCGGTCACTTCACAGATTCTGGTGTCCCCGGCGTGTCGTCGTCGTCGTCATCCTCGTTGCCCTGATGGTAGGGCTTGAGGTTGTTTATGCTGGCCGTGCGGCGACGGCGGCTTCCGGTGTCTTGCAGTCTGACTATGTTAGTTGAGAGGAACTTGACCACTCGGAATGGCCCCCCATATCTTGCGGCCAGTTTGGCCGCGAAACCCTCGGCTGCGTTGGACAGTACATGGCGGCAGGCGAGAACCAGGGAGCCAAAAGGTGGTTTCCACTCACGTCTTCGTAGGTTGTAGTGCCTGCCCTGCTCAGCTGTGGCACGCTCGGCGTTGTCGCGGACAACTTTCAATATCTTGTGTAGCTGCTCACTCTGTTCCGCAGGGGAAATCAGTGCTGTTCCTCGTTCCAGGGTGACTTCGTCGTAGAGCGCGTTTGGTAGCCGTGGCTCCCGGCCTTGGACCAGGAAGGCGGGGCTGAAGTCCGTGGTGTCCGACACACTGCTGTTCACGGCGAGTGAGATCTCCGGCAAAAGCTGATCCCAAGTATTCTGCGGTGCGTCTCCCAAGTACTGTGCAATCATTGTTTTAACCGTCCTGTTCGCCCTTTCCGTAGGGTTTTGGCGGGCCGTGTAAGGCGCGGTATGCAGCGACTTGCAAAATGTCTGGAAGTCTCGGCTGGTGAACTGTCTGTGTCCCATTGTCGCAGACCGATGTCCGAGGGACTCCGAAACGGCTCAGAATTCGTTCTCGAAATGCCCGTTCGAGGTACGGCACGGTGGCTCTTTGTAGGGGGAAAAGTTCCACCCACTTTCTGAACGCGTCGAGGAACACCAGTGGGACAGTGTTCCCTTGCTTGGAACGCGGAAATGGTACTACGAAGTCCGTGCATAACACGTGGAATGGTTCGTCGACCTGGCGCGTGAACATCTTCCCGGCCGGCTTTTCCTGGCTCAACTGGAATTTTTAGCAGCTCTGGCACCGTCGCACCTATTTAGCTACCTCTCGGAATAGTCCGGGCCAGTAGTACCTCTGGGCCACTCGCGTGCTTGTTTTCCGCACGCCCAGATGTCCAGCGGTGGGGTGGTCGTGGCATTCCGTCAGCACTCTTGCGCGGTCGCCGGTACCCACGCATAGCTTCCAGGGGTATATTCCCCGTCCTCTGGGCGCAGTCCGATGCGCCGGTAGAGTTGCCCGTTCTCCCCTCGGAAATCCGGATACTTGGCCGGCCCCTGCTGGATCCTGCGTAACCTGCACTTACAGTCGCTGTCTTGTACTTGTGCCTGTTGTAATGTCGCCAGAGGCTGGCGCGACAGCGTGTCCGCGACCAGGTTCTGGACTCCGCATCGCTAGATCACGTCATATTGGAACTGCTGTAACTCCAATGCCCACCGAGCGATCCTGCCCGTGGGGTTGTCGATGGAGTTCAACCACTTTAGCGAGTGGTGGTCGGTGAGTACCTCGAAGCGATTCCCCTCGAGGTAGCAGCGCATCTTGCGGATGGCCCACACTATCGCAAGGCATTCTTTTTCCGTCACGGAGTAATTGCGTTCAGCGGTATTTAGCCGGCGGCTGGCGTACGCGATTACGCGCTCTTGTTGATCTATGGTCTGAGTGAATACGGCCCCAACCCCATGGTCACTTGCGTCCGTCTGGAGTACGAATTTCTCCTCAAAATCCGGGCACGCAAGCACCGGGGCCTCGGTGAGCAGATCCTTCAGCCGCTGGAACGCCTACTCCTGCTTCTCCGTCCATTCCCATTTCCGGTCCTTTTTAAGGAGCGAGGTCATTGGCTCGACTACGTCCGCGAAGTTCGGCGGTACCACGACGCTATACCTAGACATCGGCTAAGCTCCTTCACGTTCGTGGGAGGGGTCAATTCCCGGATGGCCGCGACTTTTCCAGATCAGTCTGTATCCCGACGTCGCTGATGACGTGGCCAAGATATTTTATGCTCCGCTGGAAAAACTGGCATTTGTCCCGATTGAGCCCGAGGTTATCTTCTCTGAGCCGTCGGAAAACCTCGCGTAGATTCCGGACGTGCTCAGAGAGTGTGGACCCGACGACGATGATGTCGTCCAGGTAGGCGAAGGCGTGTGGTTACATGTCGGGGCCGATGACGGTATCCAGTGCCCATTGGAAAGTTTTTTTTTTTTTTTATTAGTGGTGGCTTAAAGCCCCGAAAGCCAACTCGGAACTGGGTTAGCTTCCCGAAGTCTAGGACTCTAACCCAGTAAAAACTCCACCCCCTTCCCGCTACCCCGGCGGTACTGCCGTTACGTATTACTGCGCTGGGGGGGAATGCCCTTAGGGCTCTCTAGGATTCTATCCATTATAATTTCGCAGTCTTTCAGCGATGCGCAGTTTTTTGAGTACTATTGTGGCCATGTGGCTTACAGCGGACCAATGTACTTCAGATTCGAGCATAATTTCTACCAGGTTACAAGCAGCTGGCGTTCTCCGAACCCTTATGCTCAGATCTAGACGTTCATTTTCAAATCTTGCTCTGTGCTACCTGCGCGAATATTAGCAGATTCCACTGCTTACAGGTCAATCGGTATGATTCCCGTTATTACCATTGCCGCATCATAGGATACCGTGCGGAAGGCAGAGCATACCCGTAGGGCACACAATCGCTGTACAGAGTCGCCATCCTGCCTGTAGCTTTCATTTTTTGTGGCTCGGGCCCATATGGGAGCAGCATACATCAGCGTCGATGTGACAACGCTAACAAATAATCTACGTCCTGGTTGCCTCGGTCCCCGAGTGTTCGCCATAATCCACGAAATCGCGGCCGCCGTTCTACCTTCCTTGCCACTGGCGTAAGCTAAATGGTCTTTAAAGGAAAGCCGATGGTCGATCATGACACCTAGAACTAGGACCTAGGTACACCTAGGTACTGCCCGTTGGAAGGTGGCAGGAGCCGAGTGTAGCCCGAAGGGCTTCACCTTCCAGTGAAAAAGCCCGCGGCCCGGGACTGTGAATGCCGTGTATTCGCGACTGGCGGGAGCTACTGGGATCTGCCAGTACCCGTTTTTCAGGTCCAACGTTGATATGTAGCGTGGCTTCCGTAGCCGTTCCAGGATGTGGTGGATCCGCGGCAGCGGGTAGGCGCCGGGAATCGCGGGGGGGCTGGGGGGGGCTGAGTTGCCGCTTTAGGAAAGTTTGTCGAGCTGAGCTAATGCTCTGCTATGCAGAGGCAAGATGAGGGTTGCGCGTGAACTGGGCATTCGTTATTGCAAACAAAGAAGAATAAAATACAACAATTGCCACACAAATGCATGTGCGGCCGTATCAAGCTAATGTCAAGAATTAAAGTTCAATTTTTTTTAGGTTTAGATACTTAAACTTCGTAAAAAATTTTTGTCAAGTTGCCTTAAAATATTCACTTATTTATTTCCACATAAGAAGATCAATTGCTAACGAAAGAAAACAAATATTTTGTAACCAAAAAATTATTATATGAAATTTATTTAAATCTGTCGGTCAAATAACGGGTATAAGTTAATTATGACGTTAAAATATAGCTTCTAAAAATTTTCTTATATTACTTCTTATAGATTTGCTCACTTACACGGTTCTCTAATTTTAAAGGTCCTGAGGCAGTAGAATCCGTCGTAGGAGGAAGGTAACTGATGCGTTGGTGCACTAGGACGCTAAACGTTGAATATGGGAGTATCGTAGATGCTGAATGCCGGAGGGTCACCTGAGCAAGCTAGATTGGTGTTGTGCCGGTTGGCAGTTCCTATTCACTGAAGATCAGGAAGCTGATGTTGGGAGGATGACTGTCCTCCTGTAAGCTTCTGGCCTAGAGACCCAGATAGCGAAGAGTTAAGTAAATAGCTAACGGCGGCTGCCGGAGTTATTTTGAGAATGTGCGAGTGCTCATTATTCTCAATGCGAAAATGAACTCACTTAAGGCTAACAAAAAATTTGACTTCATAGCGGCCACGCAAATATGCTGAGATTGCCGGCTATGCATGGGCATCAGGACAGACGCTGTGTCAGCAGTTTGGCCGGAACGGACCCTCGGGACCTTAGACAACGAAGCAGAAAGCAAGAGGTAAAGGTTGACCATCTGGCGAAGGAGATGGTCAAGACGCATTCAAGGAAGACGGCGATTAGAAATATGACGATAACGACGACATATGCAAGATGAGGATCGCCGAGATGGTGAGAAGACGCGACGATGATAAGACGTGCTCATGACGAGCAAATACGACGCGCATCTTGAGAGAAGAATTAACGACGAGACGACGAGTTTAAATACTGTAACATAATCATAAGTTAATTTAGCAATATAATATAAACTTAACTAAAATAAAATGAAAACCCCACAAATTGGGGCTCAACCGGGATAGTTTCCGAGAAAATAGTAAATTTTAGTGGCGAAACGATGATAGTGAGAGACCAAATTTTCTTGTGACCATGGCATACGTATATAAACAATAGCAGTCTGAGGACCATGTTCTTGTCGTGAGGTAATTTATTTTTTTGTATTGCAGGCGCGGACCGCTTATGGGCAGTCAGGTTCACATGTATGGAGTGCTTAATTGACTTGACTTACAAAAAACTAAAGATTGTACCGCGTTACACACGTTGTTTTCGAAAACGAGGGAGACAGAAACAACCAAAGACGACAAAGCGAGTTTAATGGATTTGAATACGACGGAAAGGACGCAAGGTGCAGAACCAAATGTGTGAGTGATGTCACGGGGCCGGCGTGGCGGTCTTTTGTC